CTTGCATATAGTGAGCATAAAAATGCATATATCTGTGAGATTTTCATATACAAATGCATTATGTAAGGCAGAATCACATTCAGAGATTTCAAGCCAACTCAAAAGGCATGGGAACAACCACAGAGCGGGCAGTAAGTAACTCATCTGTGTTCTAACCTACTAGTCTGCAACTGTAGTGCGTCATAGCTTGTTCCAAGGTGGGTTGCCGCAGAAGCACTACCACCTTGCAAATATACAATAAAAGATTAAGAAATGGCTCTCCCAATGTGTTAAGTGGGTCCTGGGGCTGAAATACTATTCCTGTAACCCACTTTGTGCCTGGTAAGTTTTGTTAGGTGGTGAATCTGCCATCTCCTGGCACACTTCCAGTGCTTCACCATATGTGATTTTGATGTACTGTGGTTTTTTTTTTAACCAAGCATGGAGGGTATTGATGGAAGGCAGTGTTAGCTGATCAATAGGAGCAGAATTCAGGTGGTTGTAAAAAATGCAGTGACGGTATAGGTGCATCCTAAAATCAATAAAGAAGAGTGGTTCTTAATAAACTAAAATGAAGAACCATTACCCACTCCAGCTAAATTACATTCTGTGTTGGATCGTTCGCAGCACTGGGAGCTGGTGAGCATAAAACCAAGATGGTGCAGAAATCAAGCAGTTGACATAGTAACAGATGGAATATAGACCAAGGAGCTGATTTTACTGATTGGTAAATTAGAACAGCAGTTACATAAACTGCCAGGGCCACAAAAGCTGCTTGAAATCATATAAGTATGGGAAAGTGTTGAATGGCTTCAGTTTTGTCTCCCTTCTTGGAAACATGTTAGATACTTTGCTTTCCTAAGTGGCATGCTGTTCTGGTGATTTTTCGGATTCAAGAAGTAAGTCAAAATGCGTGAACTTGGAAAGGTATGATTGAATGTACTTTGGTGCTTCTTTGCGGGAACCTTATGTGGGTCACATGCCAGTGGTTGGCAGCGTTAGAGGCAGCAATGGGTGACACTATAGTAGACTAGTTTCTACAGACTCTCTGTATCCCCCATCCAGACAAGCAAGAGGCATTATCAGAGCGCTAGGCTACATTCCAGCCAGGCAAAAGCACTCAGGGTGAGAGGCAGGGCCAGTGGTGTGTGTGTTTTCCCTGGGAGAGTAGAGGGAGAACTCCATGGTCCGGACAGACTGACCTGGAAGACTTTGTCCCCTGTGCTGAGGTTTCCCCAGTCCTGTTCTGCATATTAAGCATTAGGCTTAATGTCTTAAGGAAGAAAAGGAGATAGCAGTAAAAGGAAAATCACAATAACCCTTTAAAAATGTAGCGTTCTCAACATCATTTTAGGCATGATTTTAGTTTCTCACAGGATAAGATCCAGAGTCCCCAGGAGTGGAACTCTGATCATGGGCTACTCCTGCTTGAAAGAAGCCATTTGTGCTGGTTCCTCTTCCTGCCTGCAGACCCCCCCAAAATTGCTCCATAGGCTTATGGCTTATGTTGGAGGTGGTTTGGGAGGCTGCAGGGAGAGCTCTCAGGACTTCCTCCAGCAGTATTGCTTTTCTGCCTTTTGGCTAAGATGAAGTGTAGGACTTTCTCTAGCAGAAGCTTCTGCTGGATCTCAGTCCCTTCTGCACATGAAAAGAGCCCTTCATTTTGCAGAAAGAAAACTGCAAATAACGCAAAACAGTTGAAAGACCACTCTGAGGTGAGGAATGAAATTGTCTGCTACTCTCCCAAAATGTTAACAATAAAAGATATACAATTTTCCTCCACTACACAGTTGTCTTCTGAGTTTTTCCCCTGGATGCTTATTGCAAATGTTTTTGTTGTCATCAACATGTTATCTCAACCAGCAGGACCTGTCTATTGCAGTTCTTTTCATTTTGTTTAGATGTGGTTGTCCCCATTTGCCACCTCTTGCACCTTTGCTGCTGCTCATACATTTGTGGTAATGTTTGCAAAAGCAAAAAAGAGGCATTGCACCATTACAGCTCCCAAGTCGGTCATCTGCCTGGGATTCAAGTGCCCCCCCTGCTGGTAGAGCAGGCGTATGTGTAGTAGAACACTTCTCGGTATGGCATATTTCCACATACCTTTTACACACATCTATCCCACTAGGTTAATTCCAATGAAGTGCAGAATATGCCAATTTACATGGAGAAAATAGCTGGAGTAGAGATAAGATTAGCTAGCATTTATCCACATTCAACAGGCTAGACGTAGGCCCATCCAGTTGTCAGGAACTGGTCAGCAATAAAACACCTGGTGTCAGTGAAGTTAACTCATTATTCAAAGAAGGCAAAATAGCTCAGGCCTCGTGATCACTGCCCAGTAAGTCTTCTCACAATGAGGCAGTTGCAAGGATTGAAGGTCCCTGCCTTCCTCCCTCTCTCTAAGACTCCTCCCCCAGCAACCTGTGGCTCCTTTTCCTTGTCTCTCTTTGCTCCACCCTTTTCATTCCTCTTTGTGTTTTGGGAGTCTGGTGGGGGGAGAGACTCCCTAGCTTCTTCAGCAGCCTGCTTCTCCTCTGCCTCCTCTCCAGCCTCTGATTCTGCCTCGTGATTCTGGATTGCTTTCTGCCCCAGCCTTTTCCTACTCACTAAACCCTGTTGCTTCTGTTCCCTCTTCTCCCTCTGACCACTCATCATCATCCCACCACCAATCCCCTGGCTCTGAGTCTGCTTCCTTGGGGGTTATCCAGCTGGTGCCTCCCACTTCTCCCCTGCATCCAGCCAGTTCATGACACCACTAGACTAACTGAAACTCTTTTTTCCTCCCCTTGAAATTGCTCAGCTTTTTCTGACAGTGAGGATCCTCAAAATAAGTCTCAATTTTTTATGTTAGGCAAAATATAGCAAGGCTTGAAAGGGCTGGTTTGGGGAAGGGCTATTGTTCAGTGACAGAGCACATGCTTTGCTTCTGGAAGGTCCAAAGTTCAATCCCTGACATCTCCAGGTAAGATTGGAGAAAATTCCTGTCTGAAATCCTGGTGAGCTACTGCCAGTCATTTAGACCAGCTTTCTCTAGGCCTGTGACCACCACTTGTTTCAGGCTGCAACTCCCATCATCTCCCATCCAGGGTGGTCAATTGATAATGGGTGTAGTTCAACATATCTTTAGGGCCCTAAGTTGGGGAAGGGTGTTGTGGTTAATATGGAGCTACATGGTCCAATGGCCTGACTTGGCACGAGGAATATTTCCTATGCGCTTGGATGAACATTCTTGATAGCTTTACCAAATTGCACCAGAAATATCTACTGCAGCTCCTTAGAAGTGACTGCTCCACTAAAACATACCCAGCTCTGCAATGAGTGTGTGCCCTTCACTTGCCCAGTGCTTCCAAAATAAATAGCTGTTAATAAAAGCTAAGAAACAATAGAAGTAGAAAACTTACAAAGCATGCAGTTTTGGGGAACTCTGGACTTCAAGCACCGCAGATCAAAGCAGCTTTTGTGGCTTCCTTAGATTTAGTTTCAAGTGGCCGTATCTGAGTTCTTAAAAGAAGCAGAAATGAACACGTCAAAAGACATCCACTGTGCCGGTTTGCACTGAATCTAGGCTAATATTAGTTGGGTTTTTGAAGTATATGTAAATGCCAGATTGAAGTAGCAAACAAATTGGGAATGGATAGAACAAACGTCTAATTATATTGCCTAATAACTTAAAGGACAGAGTACAATGGACTCCTGTTACAGCTAGTTCTCACACATGAACTGGAGCTTTAAAATGGTAACGTTACTCTAGCTACTGAAAGGAGACAAACTGAAATGTGCTAATTGCGGTGCAAGTTATGACATACCTTTTAAAGAACTCCCTTGAAAGTTTGCATGGTCTGCATCTGGGGAACGAAGCATATTTAGGCTTCTCTCTGTCACTTCTTTTTTCTCTCAGCCTTTCATGCATGCATAGTTTAAGAGATTAGCATGAATAGATTTTCGAGTTGCGTGTATGAGAACCTGACATTGTGCATTGTGCTGTGTCTTTACAACAGAAGAGAAGCTTTGCTGGTTGAATTTTACCTTTCAGCAGATGAGTTTTCCTTTCTAAAAGGAAGGTTTTTAATGTGTCTTCTCTTGGGGGAGAAACATAATTGCAGGGATGGGATGGAGATTGCATCCTGGTGCTTCTTTCTAATTTAATATGGGTCAGCTTTGTGTGCAAGTGAGGGTTTTCCCTGGAGAACATGGTTGGTACTCTGATCTCAGCTTTGGACCTGTTTTATGTTACAAGGAGGTGGGTGGGCTCCCACTTCACCGTGGCTCAATTTTACTCCTGTTCAAGAATTTATCAGAGTGATAATCATGCCATCATGAGGGTAGGATGACTGCTGAGAGTACTTTCTCTAATAATGTCACTAATACCTGGGGGAAGAGCAACATTGGTGTGAGAAGTAGCCTGACCTACCTAATTACTTTCCTTAGAAGTTCCATATAGGAAGCTGCGTTATAGCAAGTGAGATTTTTTTTGTCACTGAGCCTGTATTATTTCTGTGACACAAACTTTGGGAAGAAGCATAGTTCAGTGGAAGAGCATCTGTTTTGCATGCTGAACGTACCATGTTAAATCCTCTAGGGGGAACTGATAGAGCATCCATTTGAAATGTTGCAGTGCCACTGCCAATCAGTGTAGACAATGCTGAGCTAGATGGACCAACAGTCTGATTCAGCATAAGGCCATTTCCTGTGCAACTAAGACTTACCAAAAGGTCCCCTGGGTCTGAGAGGGAGATATTTCACATGTTATCTGATCCTGGAGTTATAGCATGCTCTCTACCACTGAACTATCACAGTGACTGCAAAAAGTCCTCCATCCTTTGCTTAGTATGCCTAAGGATTTCTGACAGCTTTTGATATTTGTCTCTGTCTAAATCAGCCATCGGTGAAAATGCCTAGTCTGTTGCAAAGCTGCAGACATTACAGGGAACATTTTGCATCCTCCAAGCTGCCTTGCTGTTAATACGTTCTGTTACTAATATTTCATCTCCTCCCTTTTTCTGTTTTCTTTGCCCCAGGCTACATATCTAAACAAAATGGTGAGCCAAACTCTCAACACAAAGGACAGAAAGTCAGCACATACACCCACCGAGGACCATTTTAGATATTTGCCGGGCAACCAAGTAACCTCCCACGAAAGCAAAAGCTGCCAGCTGTCAAGTGTGTGCCTCAGCAGCCTCCTGAAAGAAAAAGAAATCGTGGAGGTTCTCAAGCACACAAGAGAGACTTATGAAGCCCTGACTTCAGAGGTCAGCCAGAACGGCTTAGAAGGAGAAGCGCAAAGTGGCTTGAAGCCGACAGCCAAGGCCGAGAATCTCCCTGCTTTTCCCGGGGCTCTGAAAGATCAATCTCCTGTCCCTCGGCAACATTCCACTTTCATAGGGAGGCTGGGACAGCCTCCGAGAGGACCAATCTCCTTACACATGTACAGCAGGAAAAACGTTTTTCTTCACCACACCCTTCACACATCTGAGCTTCAGACTTTGGGCCAGCAAGATGGGTAAACGGAGTTGGCACGTGTTTATTGAAGACAGAGCCCTACATCTGGCTTAAGGGGCCACGATGCTAATTTAAAACTGACTTTTTAAGTTCTCATCAGCTGCTACCTACATACTGTTTTGAAATTAACTATTGTTGTCTATGAAATCTAGGCGATCCCTGTAAAGTAAGGACTGGGAGTGGGGAGGTGGGAGGCTGGGTGGGGGCGGGGGCGGGGGAGGCTAGCATGACTTAAATGAGTAGTTGAATGTCTTGCGGAATTCACCCGAGTGTGAAATCCTGGATTTAAGGAAGTTGGTGACAAAAGCTCTACTGGCTTCATAGTGAATGGATGGGACCATCTCGATGGAACGTCCAAAAGACGCCCAACGTTTGTGAGTGTGTGGTTTCCCTACCGTCAATCACTTGCATACCTAAGATTTCTGAATGCTATGTCAAATATAACATTCTGTTCTTTTAATAATGTTACTGTGAAAGTAGATGTGAGGAATGAATAGAGAATTTAGTAAAAGGGGAGAAAAAGAAACTCCCCCAATGGTACAAATTCAATCGAGGTGGTTTCAACAGTCTGGTTGGTTGTATTTTGGTTTCATTTCGTATAGTGAAGCTTTTCTCACTCATCAGACACAGCCTGCTTGCCCTTTCCATCTTGGGCAAGAAGCATAACAGTTTATTGGGATACTTGAATGAGGTGATGAGCCTCCTCCCCACACTTAGAAACCTTTTGAAAAAACCTAATGCAGCTGGCAGAAAGTGTGACAGAATGTCCCCATCCTTTGCACAGCTTATTCCCTTACATGAGATGCAGCAGTGGCCGCCTATTAGAATGGTTTTAAAAGAGGATTAGACAAAGTAAAGCAAGGTTATCAATGGCTGCTAGTCATGTTGGCTATGGTCTCTTTCCACTATTGAAAAGAGGGTTGCTGGGAGAGTCCTATAGCACTCAGGTCTTGCTTGTGGAAATTACTTTACCAGGGTGATGAGTGGATTTCCCACACCAGACAATGTGTGTCCAAGTGGAAGCTGACCACTTTGTCATGGATAATACCATATGCCATGATGGTGAGTAATATACAATGTCAGTCATACTCAAAGCAGTCCCATTGAAATCAATGGACAAGTACATAAATTTCAGTGGGAAAATTCTGAGTATGGCTTAGTTGGGTATCACTCATTATTCAGGGATTGATATAATATCTGTAGTGGCATACTACTTCGGTATTTGAGGCCAAGTTCTAGAGTTGGTTTGCCAGGCTTTTTCAGTATCTCTTTATTTACACTTGTTTTGCTAAATCAGTATGTCAGTAAATAGAAACGGGGGTATTGGATGCCATCAAATTTAAGAAAACAGTGATTTCTAAATCTGCATTTGCCATTGATAAACCAAAATGCTGTAAGAGAAGAGTGCTTTGCAAGGGGCCACATATTTTTAGCATCATATCATCATAAGGTGGCCAAAGGTGGCAATAAGGAATGTTAAGCTTTGTTGAAACATTGCATTAGATTCTCACCCCAACTGTTCTATATTCTGTGTTGAGAAGCAGGTGTGCATATTCAGATCCCCTTGCGTATTTTGAATTGTGTGCAAAAAGGCATTACGTGGAATTTAAAAACACACACACACACACACACATCTAGAACAGTTTTCCAGCTGACATGACCTGTGCTGCATTAGATCGTTCTTTGTACCTTTTAACCGTGGGTCAGAATATTCAGTTTTGTCAACTCTAGTCACCGCTTGAGAATGGAAATGGGATCCAGTTCATCCTTTCACTAACACCCCTCCTGGCTAGGTGATTGGTGCTAATAAACCTGCTCCCATTGAGTATGTTTCTTGTATATTTCGTGTGGCGCTCCTTATACATCACAATTCTATTCATGTGTTTGGGTGAATGGGGGGGGGGCTTAAAGGGGGTGGGAAAGCGCACACACATCTGCTCCCTCCATGGCTCTGCACATGCTGACTCATCTTCTGAGCTTTGCATATTGTGCATGAAGAGGCAAAGGGAGACTCTAACAGTGTTTAGCTAACTGTGCTTGGAGGTTTCCTTGTCACTGGGGACCCTTCATTATTCAGTATGCTTAGTATCAGAACACAGGAAGATCTGCAGTAGAGTCATCAAGAGTTGGGCCACTGGGGGCAGACCTTGTACTCATGTCTGCTTCCCACTTTAAGTGTGCATGCATTCACTCCAAATACATAAACAGAGCATCATGCGCAAAGCCTCAGCCTGGGGATCTAGAAATTGGGATCAATGAGCTTTGATATACCAATGCAACTTAAGAGCTCAAACTGGAAAAGTTTGCTGGAATCAAGAATCATACGAACAGATTGGCAAGATGTTTCTAATTCTAAAAAGCAAATTTTATGAAATGAAACAATATGAATAATGCTGAAATTAATGTTCCAAGACTGTGCCTTGGAATGAGTCCCATACAAAAAAAGGTGAGTCTGTGTAGGATTGGTGTGAGAATATGCTTGAAAATACTTGATGACAATTCAAGTTACATACTGTTTTGTCAACTTGATGGGAGACATTCATTGTAGAAAATATGGCAATTGCAGCAGAATAATTTAAATAAGTATTGATAAACTTCATCTTACATAATGTATTTCTCTTGGTCACATTCTGGCTACGATTGTTAAATACAACTCTATTGTATTTACAAGGATGCAAGTCCCATTTTATTGAATGGAGGTTATTCCCCTAGTAAGCGTATGTGGGACTGCTGCTTTTGGACCACCAACTTACTAGGGAATGAATGCCACTGAACTTTTTGAGAATAATTTCTGAGTTATATGCATTAAAATGCCACCGTGAGAATATGAACTCCCTTTGGGTTTTCAGAGATGAGATGAAAGAGAATGGTTCAAATATTGGAAGAAAAATCATTCATTCTCGAGCAGATGGTGTGTTACTGTGTGGCTACCACATGTTCACTTGAGAGTATTTTTGGAGTCAGAGTGGCGTAGTGCTTAGGGTGTTGAACCTGGACCAAGAAGAAGAGGAGTTTGGATTTGATATCCTGCTTTATCACTACCCAAAGGAGTCTCAAAGCGGCTAACATTCTCCTTTCCCTTCCTCCCCCACAACAAACACTCTGTGAGGTGAGTGGGGCTGAGAGACTTCAAAGAAGTGTGACTAGCTCAAGGTCACCCAGCAGCTGCATGTGGAAGAGCAGAGACGTGAACCCAGTTCACCAGATTATGAGTCTACCACTCTTAACCACTACACCACACTGGCTGTGGTTTAAGCAGACAAAGTGATTATGATTTAGATTCACCCATCTAGATAAGAAAGGGTGGCCTGGTCCATACCTGTCATCACGACACCACTCTGCTCCACAAGGCAGCATAAAAATCAGTGAACTGTATTTTTAAAGCATGCTGTCATTAGCATGATTTCAGTGTCAGTTTCATGTTTTCCTCTTCTGTTAATGAAACAAGTAGACTGAAGAATATATTGGCCTACTGTTCATTATGGATTTCAGTCTCGGTTGTGGTAAGAGTTGCCCTATTTCAATTCTGCCCATTTTTTTGATTATCATTCCATAATCAAAGCAATTCTTTCCAGGATTCAAATGCACTATTCTACAAAAATAAAAAATAAAGCTGCATCTTCCATTTTATACATATATAATGCTTGTTTATTTCTCGGCTAGGCACTGTTTGGATTACGTTTTGTAAGCGGGAGGGGGGATAACTGTCTAAAGCTATGAAAAGGAAATTTCAAAATGCTACTATTTTCTTGACGGGATTTTTTTTTTAAGCTAAAAATTATTGGTGAACAATTAAAGCAAGGGATAGCTGCTAGGCTTTTATCCACTTGTAGCTGTTTTGTATCAATATTTTTAGCATTGTTATAGGACTTCTTGTAATACAAACAGGCTGTTTTCCCTCCCACAAGGGTGGCAGCTGTGTACAGTGTAACGGTACCTAAAAAGCAAAGGTGCTTTTGCAACATCCTCTTGTGTATATTGTAACTCATAAGACAACCTTGTGGAGGCATTCTTTCAATGAATGGATTCCTTTGTACTGAAATCTCTAGTTTTCTAAGACAGTTCTCTGTATAAAAATGATTTATACATCTTTCCAAGGCTGTACATATCCAACCTTCTGACATCACGCAAGGGAAAAGGACTTCTTATTTTTTGGCAGATATGTCTCTCTCTCTCTTTTTCTTTTTTTGGAATATGTCTATAAAACAAAAGCTTAAGTCTTGTAAAACATCTAAGGCAAATTGCTTCTTCCAGAGCTGCTATCAACGAGTGTGACTTCCAGATCACAATGGCAATGTAATTGATATTTTAAGGAGAAGGGAATCCTTCAGGGAGAGAGAAATGGGTTTAATTTCAGTCAAACACCCTGCATTTTCCCCCTTTCTAAAAGCAAGAAAAGGTCCGGTGCAGATTCTAAACAAGCTTTATAAATTAGAAGCATATCACCACCACCACCATAATAATAATAATAATAATAATAATAATAATAATAATAATAATAAAGAGTTATTCAGTAAACTCTATGGTGCTACCAGTAACTTATGCTATGTTATAATGGCTTCTAGGGCAGCATACATCCTTACTAGAAAAGTAAAAGTTTATCCTGACCATGTCCGACTGAGAAGACCTTAGTCATGACCTACTTACATCCCACTGAGTGACTTCTGCTAGAGCCTGCCCACTGAAGTATATGTGTAAGCAGAGAGTCAAAAATAGTTCATTCATATTTAGCTTGCCAAGCAGTGCACTGGCATACAGGTGAATTTATTCTAGCTACTACAACTAGGATATGCATAGCAATGGATAGATCAAGCTAGGTCCTTTTCATGTCATGTCAGCTTTGCTCAGTCATCAATTCCTTCGGTCCTCATTTGCTATGCAAAAGAAAGCACACACAAAAACCCACGCACACAAACCCTGCATGCAAATTGCACAATTAGTATGCACTTTCCCTGATTCTTCACCTGCAGGAGAAACGATGGACAGATCATAATAGATAGGCCTCTTTTTTCAACATTAGCAATGAGCAACTATTTCCCAGGTTTCAAGCCCATTAAACATCACTTTCCAAGAATTCCAGATAATGTTTCCAAAGCAAAAAATAAAATAAAGCATGTTGTTCTTAGGTGATGTACAAGCCTCATATGATCTCATTTATTTCAACCCATCTATCTTTCC